GCACACAAAGCCGCCAACCGATGACTGATCCTCATCCTCTGAGGCCTATGTGGCGTCGGTGAAGCACGGCAGCTTCAAGGTACCAAGCGTGACCCCATCTGCTCCAATCTGTTTCAGCTGGCCGCCAGCTGAAAACTGAACACCAGCAGATGCCGTTGATCCAAGGTAGCGCACCAAGCGCTTTGCCACCTCCAACTGCTCCTCTGTGGGCCGCTGCACAACTCTGGCCAGCTGCCCCACTCCGAACGAAGCATCAAGTCGCGTATGCACAGCTGCATACATCACACTCCCAATGAGTGACTGGTACTCATTCTGCTGCTCTTCCTCGAGCACATCATCCTCCTCAGCTGCCTTCTTCAATTTGAAGCCTGCAGGGAACGGTGTCATCACAGTGCGACCCCCAGTCACACCATACCGCTCCATGACACCAGAGATGTAGTGTGACTGATGCACCTTCAGCCACCTCCTCTCAACATCCCTCTCAATCTGCAGCCCCAAGTAGTAATGGACATCCCCCAGCATCTTGCACTTGAAGTTGTCCACCAGCAGCTTCTGTGTCCTCTCAATCTGCTCCATGGAAGGTGAGAACAGCAGTATGTCATCGACATACACCAGCAGCAAAAGCAGCTGCTCCCCCTCTCCAAGCAGAAACAAACTGTGATCCGCCTGGGATGTCTTGAAGCCTCCACTCAGCAGCACCTCCTCCAGCTTCTCGTACCAACACCTGGGCGCTTGCTTAAGGCCATAGATGGCCTTCTTAAGCTTACACACCCGGCTGGTCCCATCCTCATAGCCGTCGGGCTGCGCCATGTAGATATCCTCCAGCAGTATTCCATTGAGGAACGCAGTGGTGATATCCATCTGTTTCACGTGCCATCCCTTCACAGCTGCGCCAGCCATCAAAGTCCTCAATGTTACTGGCTTAGCAACGGGAGCGAAGATCTCTCCAAAGTCGACCTTCTCTTTCTGCTGAAACCCCTTGGCGACCAAGCGGCTCTTGAACCGCTCCAACGCACCATCAGCTCCACTCTTCACCTTGAAGACCCACTTGCTGCTGATCGGCCGTCGCCCCTCGGGTAACTCAACAAGCTCCCAAGTCCCATTCTGGGGCTTGAGGCGGCACTTGCACGGAGGATCTGGAGCCGCGGCGATCGGCGCAAGCACGCTAGTGGTCTGGGAGCTGTGGCGCTCTCTGACGGGCATTCTTCACGCCCTTGGAGCTCACCGCATGTAGATGCGGGCTCCGATTGCCCCATGTTTGATGTGATTGTCTAGGTTGCCGTAGGAAGAGCCATGCTTGTAATGCTGTTGTTTATGAGCAACTGTTAGTAGTGTCACTTGCCATCCCCTCAAGCGCAGCCGAAGGCCGCGCTGGCGGCCGGCGCGAGCGAAAATTTCCGCACCAGCCGAACAATGAGGTGAAGAGGCCCAAAGGGGCCTCTTATATAGCTCACAAGGAGAGGGGAGAGGGCTAAGGGGAGAGGGCAAAGGCTAGAATCCTCTCTCTCTCTCTCTCTCTCTCTCTCTCTCTCTCTCTCTCTCTCTCTCTCTCTCTCTCTCTCTCTCTCGCTCTCTCGAACGAGCGAAATTTTCCGCACCAGCCGAACAATCAGGTGAAGGGGCCCAGAGGGGCCCCTTATATAGCTCACAAGGAGAGGGGAGAGGGCTAAGGGGAGAGGGCAGAGGCTAGAATCCTCTCTCTCTCTCTCTCTCTCTCTCTCTCTCTCTCTCTCTCTCTCTCTCTCTCTCTCTCTCTCTCTCTCTCTCTTTGCGATGTCTTTTTCTTTTGTGGAATCAGCTCATGGCAAGGTTGTTTGCCCCCGAGTTCCTCTCCATTATTGTTGAAGATATTAAATTTCTTGAGGCTTTGTTGCCTCTCTCAAATAACCTTCTTCAGGTGTGGGGTGGAAACTCAGGAGCGACCAAGAGACACATGATGAAGGCTTCCCTTAGTCATCTCAACAAGATGCACAACAAAAAATTATATTCAAGGAGAACAACTTCATAGAGCTTAGAACAATATTCTAGGCAAACGCCCTAAGACACTCCATGGTCTATTCCCCTTATGAAAAAAAATACAACAAAATTTCCCCGAAAATATAGACTTCATGACGCTCTGAAGAGCTCCTAGGCAAACGCCATGGACCCCAAAATGGTAACTAAGGGCCAGCCAAACGGCGGCAACAAAATAAAAACAGCCCAACGGGCGTGACCAATGGCCTTTGCGGGGTTATGCTCCTCGTCGAGCTTAAACCACCGGCGCGGGTCCGTGAGGGCTGTGCCCACCAGCAGGGCATGCGCTGGTGGTGTGACCCGGCTGGCCACAGCGGAAGCAGGTGCCGCGGAAGCTCTTAGCATCGTAGCCGGGGGTCGTGCCAAACTTGCCGCCAAACCCCGTGGGGACTCGACCTCCAAGGGAAGAGCCGCGACCATAGGAGCCGCGTTTCATCGCTGCCACGTCCGCCACCGCCTGCTTGAAGGGGCGCGACGTTAGCACGCTTTTCTTCTGGTAGAGCTTGAAGCGATGCGCCGTCTTGAAGTCAGAGGCATCGGCGACTTGGAGGAGTTGAAAACGATCGGCGATGAGCGCGTACGCCTCGTCGAAGTGCTCAAGCGCGCCAGAGGTGTCGCCGTGGCATATCTTGTGCTCTGATTGCTTCAGGTATGCGCGCAGGTCCTCCAAAAATTCAGCTTGCTCGCGTACACCAGCGTGGTTGAATTAGGAAGCCGGAATGGTGGGGTTGGTTGATGGGAGTGGAGGGAGATGCTCGATAGGTGCAAGATAATTGGCGTGTGCATGAGCCTCACCTCCTTCGTCTTCAGAGTCGCTGCCGTTGTTGACATTGTTGGGCGCCACAGCAGCAGCGTGTTCCCTTTCGGCACGAGGGACCTCGGGGGCGCGAGCATGGTGAGCCAAATCGTTTATTGCATTATCGTTTTCAGCAGATGCAGAAATCATAGTTGCTGCTGTCGTAACCGCGCGTGAGTGCTGCTGTAACAGGCGCCAAAAGCGCTTGGACTTGGTCCGCGGTCAACGCGGGTGTCAATGACGGGTCAGCCGTCGCGTTAGACGAAGACCCGGTTCGGCGCCTCTGGCGCTGACGCGACGGTCCAGCCACAGGTGCTGGCGCGTGCTCGACATCAGGCGCGTGTGGCGCCACAGGTGCTGCAGGTGCCTCCATCGCCACTTGCGCCACAGGCGTCACAGATACCGAGGGGTGCTGCTGGACGGGGGCAGTGGCGTTTTAGTTGACATCGACACTGCGCAGCAGCGTTTCGACGCTACTGGGCGCGACATCTTTGTCGTCCGCCCGTCGCTTGTTGCGGCGTTCGCCCGAAATATCACGGGCATTCCTCTCGTTGTCCGGTTGATTCGGGGCGTTTGCGTTCGAGGTGCTCGGCGCCATCGAAGCTTGATTGTAGTTGAGAACGTCTGACGGCAGCGTAGAGGGTGACTGGAAGTGAGGAAGTGTTTTAACCCTTGCCAGATTGAAGACTGAAAAAAATCAGGAGGGGACTCGCACCTCCGAAAAAATTGGGATGGGTTTCGGAACTGAGGAATTGAACTTGAGCGATTGTAAAATGAGAAACGTGGGTGGGGAAGAATGATCCCCAACCTACATGATACATTCGGAGAAGGCGAGTAGCGCACTTCAACGATGCACAATATTGCGTTATTCAGCTTCGCTTTCACAATACACAAATTTGAAAGCGATAAACGCTTATAATTTTTTCATACCTCTCTTGAGGTCCCTAAAGGCGATGATCGGAGTGGCTTTGCACCTGGTCCAGGCTCAGGTCATGTTGCTTTGCATTGCATCATCTACAGGTTGCGCAATATTGAGTTGGTGGATAACGAGGGGGAGGACATCGAGGACGTGGGAGGGAGCTCTTTGGGTGGAGGCTCAAGTTTGAGGGGCGCCATAGCGCGTTGTCGTGGGGTGCTTACTTATCCTACATGGGGTTCTATGTATGGAGAAACGAGTGCTTTCATATATGAAGCCACATGATCACTTTCTAGGTTAGTTTAATTCAGTTGGAAGGTGGCATTGAGTTGGCGTTTATGATATGTATGGCCTGTGTAGTAATAAATAACATCCATTGTACCTAACTAATTTATTTATAGGCGATGACTGTATTTGATGGATATCATAGCACATCATTACAATATAGGACTTCACCTGGTTTGGCACTCTGACGCGCCCCGCCAATTTCAAGCGGGAAGCGCACAAAGGTGTGCTTTGTAGAAAGCGTGGGAACCCAATCCAACAACCCAAACTACCCGGGAAATGATTGCTATCGGATGAGCTAACCAGTCAATTCCACTGGCATTCAGATTTCGCCAGTGCTGGCTTGCGATTGTATGCAATTGACGGAATGGGAGGACAAATGTCGGCCCGGCGGAAAAACCTCGGGGTTACCCGTGTTGAGGGTTGAGGCTCCCCAATCGCATGTTATCCGGACGGGGTTTATGTTTTTCTGACCGCGGGCAGTTAACGGTTCTTCAGCGCCTTTCCTGACGGCCGTGAGTTACTTACATTCGCAAATCGCACTGGAAACATTTGCATGCAGGTGATGTTGTCCTATGAGCTAACTACTCTCCGCCGGGTTTATCTCTACCCGGTCAATCCACTCTCAAGCGTCACATTACCACGTACCAGTCCAGACCCTCCAGCATTTCACAGCTCATCACGTCCGTCCATCTGCCGTTCGTGCATCTTCACCGTACTCTCTAGCTTTTCTCTTCGTCAAAACCAGAATTACTTGGCAAACGAAATAGCATTTCGCCCAACAATTTTGAGAGGATTGCATACAGCATGGAAAAAGCGAACCAATCCACCAAGTTTACGGGGAGTTACGAGGTTGATAATCAGGCATGAAGTTCGCGACGCCCGTGAGCTATCTTATCAGCTACCAAAAACCACACATGCACCAAGTTTATCTCGAGTGTCTCTTAACTCATATATAGTTAAAGGGAGCACCAGCTTGAATAGACAGGCATGTCGATCTCAGAGGAGCTAGCGGCGTCGCTGGGAGTGGCTCCCTCCCTGATCACCCTCCTGCTCTGCCTCTTCTCGTCCATCCCCGCGGCTCTGGTCGTGCGCTTCTTCCCGGGTCCCACGCTGAAGCATCTCTACAGCATTGCCGCCGGAGGGGCTCTCTGCTGGGTGGCGTATGGCGGCCTTCACGGCAAGTCTCATAACCCTCTGTGGTTCCTAGCAGCATACGCGTGTTCCAATTCAGTGGTTCTCGTCGCAAGTGACTGGAATGCATTCAGCAAGTCGGTTTTGCTTGAAGCCAGCTAGACCGCCAGCAGTCTGTTATCTGCAATCTTATCACAAGTCCCATCATATCGCTCCACTGATCGAAATCGCCACTCCATCGCGTGCTTTCGCCAATGCAGCGAGCCTCAACTTCTGGGGCCTCACCCTCGCGTCGTACGCGCTCATGCTCGTCCTTCCTCGCAAGTGGAGCGGCTACGGCGTGCTCTTTGGCTCCTTCACCTACCTCACCTACTGGTACGCCTCCACACCTATCTCAATCTCTTGGTTTTGTCTTCTGTTCCCGTCCCAATGTCGCATCGTAAGAATCACATCAAGGTTTTGTTGAAGAAAACATTCTTTCCTGTCTCGTGCTTTCCACTCTCGCATGGGGTGCTAGTTAGTGCCCCCGGCTTTGAAGCTTGACCCTGATTTTGCGGGGTGTTTGAGAATTCTCACAAAAACACCCTGCAAATTCTTTGAAGCTTGACCCTGATTTTGCGGGGTGTTTGAGAATTCTCACAAAAACACCCTGCAAAGTCTTTGAAGCTTGACCCTGATTTTGCGGGGTGTTTGAGAATTCTCACAAAAACACCCTGCAAAGTCTTTGAAGCTTGACCCTGATTTTGCGGGGTGTTTGAGAATTCTCACAAAAACACCCTGCAAAAGTCTTTGAAGCTTGATCCTTCTTGAACCCAACACCGTTACGATGTGATCCGTCATAAGATTATGGCATTTTCTGCCTGAACTCACCGACCACATGAACAACAGGGGGGCGAATATTTTAGCCTTTCAGGAATACGCACTTTCTCGCATGGACCAGCGAGTTACATTCTGCGAGCGGACTTGTGTAGGCGGATTCGCTTTGAAACGTCCCATTTAAATGGGCTATGGAATCCGTGACTGCGCATTTCTTCGCTTGAACCCTTCAGTCACATAAGCAACCTGGGAGCGGACGTGTGGAGGCAGGGAGGCGTGGACTTCACGGGCACACTCATGGTGTTCACGCTTAAGATCTCTGGGTGCGCCATGGACTACCAGGACGGCGCACTGCCAGAGGACAAGGTATTGTCTGCGGTGGTGGTAACGAGGTAACAAGATATTGTGGCAACATGATAATAAGGCTGGACATTCAAGATCGCCAGCTGTGCCATGGGCTACCAGGATGGCGCACTGCCGGACGACAAGGTATGCTTTGCAATGGTAGCAAGGTAACACGGCATCGTTGTAACTTGGTAACATGGTAACAAGTCTTGACGCTCATGATGATGTTTCCGCTCAAGATTGCCAGCTGCGTGATGGATGACCAGGACGGCGCTCTGCTGGGCTAGAAGGTATGCTCCACGATGGTTGACATCCAAGGCGCAGCACTGCATGTGCAAGAATAGGTTGGCGCAGCACTGCATGTGCTGTGCAAGAATAGGTTGGCGCAACACTGCATGTGCAAGAATAGGTTGGTGCGCAACATTCTCAACACAGATTGATGTTTCTTCCTTTCTTCCCCCTTCTCACCACTTCTCCACTCCCCTTGCTCCGTCCTTCCGCCTCTCCCCGCCAACCAGGCACAGCACCGCATGTACAGCAACAGGCTGGTGCGGCTCTCTCGGGACATGCAACAGTCCACTCACATTCTTCTCCTCTTCCCCCTCGCGTCCACCAGGCGCAGCACCGCATGTACAGCAACAGGCTGCCACGCCTGTTCACCACATGATGACTCCTCTTCCTCTCTTCCTCCGTCCTTCCGCCCGTCTCCGCCCCCAGACGCAGCGCCGCATGTGCAGCAACAGGCTGCCACGGCTCTTTCGGGATGCACGCAACACTCCACCCACATCCTTCTACTCCACCCCCTTCTCTCCTCCCCCCAGGCGCAGCGCCGCACGTACAGCAACAGGCTGGCGCGGCTGCCGTCGGTGGTGGAGTTTGTGTCGTTCGTGTTCTTCCCAGGCGCCGCGCTGGTGGGACCCGTGTTCAACCTCAAGCAGTACCAGGCTTATGCCGCTGGGCAAGGGGTCAGTGCGGGGGACGGGGAGTGATGGGGAGGGAGGAAGTGGGGGGGTGGGAGGAAGTGTGGGGGAGGGAGGAAGTGGGGGGGGTGGGAAGAAGTGGGGGGGCGGGAGGAAGTGGGGGGTTGGGAGGAAGAAGGGCGTCTCAACCAGTGCCATGCTGGTGGGGTGGGGTGGGACTCGTGTTCAAATTCAAGCAACAGCACCAGGCGTATGCTGCTAGGCAAGGGGTGATTCTAGGGAGGTGTGAGTGCAGGGAGGTGTGAGTGCAGGGAGGTGTGAGTGCAGGGAGGTGTGAGTGCAGGGATTGGGAGGAAGGAGGAAGCGAGTGTTTTGGGATGGTGTTTGAGTGGGACGAAGGGCAGAAAGCGCCGTGCTCATTCGAATTGTGACCAGCTTCAACAAGTACCAGGCGTGCGTTGCTGAGCAAGCAAAGGGTAAAGGCGAGTGCGGGTTTTGAGGCGCCTCAAGCGCCGCGCTCGTGAAACTTGTGACCAACTTCAACAAGTACCAGTCGTACGTTGCTGAGCAATGGGTAAAGGCGAGTGCGGGGAGGGAAGTGAAGGAGAAGGAGGAAGTGATGCGACCGAATACACGCGGTGCTTGGTCAACTTGTAGCGATAGCAGGCTTATGTGGCTTGGTCAACTTGAAGCGATTGCAGGCTTATGTGGCTGGCTGGGGACGGGGCCCACTGTCTCCGGTCCCCTGTCTGTCCTTGGACTCCCCACTCCTGCGCCCCCTGTACCCCGTACCTGCAACCCTGTCTTCTGTACCTGCAACCCTGTCTTCTGTACCTGCAACCCTGTCTTCTGTACCTGCAACCCTGTCTTCTGTACCTGCAACCCTGTCTTCTGTACCTGCAACCCTGTCTTCTGTACCTGCAACCCTGTATTCTGTACCTGCAACCCTGTATTCTGTACCTGCAACCCTGTCTTCTGTACCTGCAACCCTGTATTCTGTACCTGCAACCCTGTATTCTGTACCTGCAACCCTGTATTCTGTACCTGCAACCCTGTATTCTGTACCTGCAACCCTGTATTCTGTACCTGCAACCCTGTATTCTGTACCTGCAACCCTGTATTCTGTACCTGCAACCCTGTATTCTGTACCTGCAACCCTGTATTCTGTACCTGCAACCCTGTATTCTGTACCTGCAACCCTGTATTCTGTACCTGCAACCCTGTATTCTGTACCTGCAACCCTGTATTCTGTACCTGCAACCCTGTATTCTGTACCTGCAACCCTGTATTCTGTACCTGCAACCCTGTATTCTGTACCTGCAACCCTGTCTTCAATTCTGTCTTCACCCCTGCCGTCGCCCCTGTTGTCTCCCCTGTGTTCACCCGTGCCTCGCCCAGCTATGGTCGCCCTCTGGGGCAGTGGTGCCAAGCAAGGCAGCCGACTCCAGCAAGGGGGAGGAGGGGCAGCAGGCGGAGAACGGAAAGGGGGAGGCGGACAGGGCGCAGGGCGAGGAGGTGTGCGAGGGGAAGGGCGAGGGGAAGGGCGAGGGGAAGGGCGAGGGGAAGGGCGAGGGGAAGGGCGAGGGGAAGCTGCGAAAGATGCCGGAGCCGCTGCCGTATGCAGCACAGGCGCTGGGGAAGGCAATCATTTTCCTGGCGATGCACCACTTCCTCTCCCAGCACTTCGGCCCTGCCCTGCTCTTCCAGCCCCGCTTCCTCACCTACGGTTTTGCATACAAGTGAGTGTGTGCGGTGCAGTGCAGCCCAGAGCAGAGCAGCGTTTGCCACTTGTTCATCCCTCCACCACTTCTGCTCCCTATTCCCTGCCGTCCCCCCCTGCCACCCGCGGGGGGTGGGGCCCCCCTTGTCACCTGCTCCCGCTTCTCATACTCCCTCACCACTGCACCCCACCTCCCCGCCCTTTCCCCCCTCCACCTCCCCTTCTTTCTCCCTTACCCCTCTCATCACAGGTGGGGTTACCTGGTAATCGCAAGTATCTGCCTTCCATACTCAGGTCAGGTGGCTTATGAGTTGACTAGAAAATCCTCTTCCATCTCCCCTCACATCACATCACAGGTGGTTCTGCCTGGTAATGGCGGGTATCTGCTTCCGCTGCTCCTACTGCTTCATCTCTTCCCACCCTTCTCCCCCATCAACCCGTCCCCTTGTTCTGACCCCCCCTGTGTCCGACAGGTGGGGCTGCCTGGTGATGGCGGGTATCGGCTTCCGCTGCTCCTACTACTTCATCTGGAGTGTGGCGGAGGCCGCATTGATCCTCTCTGGATTCGGCTTCTCCGGCTGGACCGACTCCTCCCCCTCGCGTCCAGACTGGTGAGTTCCGAGATCTCATTGTGAAATCCACGTGGAATATGGTAGACAGTGCTGTTGTTCTGAGACGTCTCAAAACAGGAATGTGGTAGACAGTGCTGTTGTTCTTTCTGGATTCGGCTTCTCCGGCTGGACCAACTCCTTTTCCAGTCGACTCCGAACGTGTTTGGGATATGGTTGAGGATGTATTGAGAATCTATAAACCCCACCTAGACCGGCTCCTTCGCCTTGCTCTCCTGATTACCTTTGCCATTTTCTCTGGTGAATTAGCTAAGCGACTCGTCACGTAGGCCAATTTCTAATGCTTGCTCTCTGATGGGAAAAGATGGTCGCATTTCATGTGGCTGTTCATTCTCATTGTTGGTTCTTATTATCCCACATCTCGCCCCTACCGAGGTGACTTTTAGATCGACTCAAAAGTCACCAAGCGATGGTCTGATCAGTTTGGTCTTAAAGCGCACATGTAGGGAGCGTACCGGGCGAATTCGAAACACTCACATCTTGCAAAATATATGGAATGAAATGGAATGGGTGTCGGCACATGGCTTCTCATATGAGAAGCCCAATGTGCTGAGGCCCATTCGTTCTCATTGTTGGTTATTATCATCCCACACCTCTCCCCTACCCATCCATTCGAACGCCTCCACATCTCCCAAACATCCTGCCGCCTCACCTTCCACTCCGTCCGCTTCCCCCCTCCTCCAGGAGCCGGGCAAAGAACGCCAATTTCATCAAGTGTGAGATCACCACAAGTATGGCGCAGACGACTGCCTACTGGAACATGGGCGTCGGCACCTGGCTCCGCACCTGTGCGTGGGGCTCTTTGGGCTAGTGTGTGTGTTGGGGGGGGGCTGTGAACATGTGCGTGGCGCCAAGAGTGCGGAGTGGAGCGGGTAGATGAGAGACGGGTCCACCACAGATGCCTGCCTACTGGAACATGTGCGTGGGGCTCTTTGGGCTAGTGTGTGTGTTGGGGGGGGGCTGTGAACATGTGCGTGGCGCCAAGAGTGCGGAGTGGAGCGGGTAGATGAGAGACGGGTCCACCACAGATGCCTGCCTACTGGAACATGTGCGTGGGGCTCTTTGGGCTAGTGTGTGTGTTGGGGGGGGCTGTGAACATGTGCGTGGCGCCAAGAGTGCGGAGTGGAGCGGGTAGATGAGAGACGGGTCCACCACAGATGCCTGCCTACTGGAACATGTGCGTGGGGCTCTTTGGGCTAGTGTGTGTGTTGGGGGGGGGCTGTGAACATGTGCGTGGCGCCAAGAGTGCGGAGTGGAGCGGGTAGATGAGAGACGGGTCCACCACAGATGCCTGCCTACTGGAACATGTGCGTGGGGCTCTTTGGGCTAGTGTGTGTGTTGGGGGGGGGCTGTGAACATGTGCGTGGCGCCAAGAGTGCGGAGTGGAGCGGGTAGATGAGAGACGGGTCCACCACAGATGCCTGCCTACTGGAACATGTGCGTGGGGCTCTTTGGGCTAGTGTGTGTGTTGGGGGGGGGCTGTGAACATGTGCGTGGCGCCAAGAGTGCGGAGTGGAGCAGGTAGATGAGAGACGGGTCCACCACAGATGCCTGCCTACTGGAACATGTGCGTGGGGCTCTTTGGGCTAGTGTGTGTGTTGGGGGGGGGCTGTGAACATGTGCGTGGCGCCAAGAGTGCGGAGTGGAGCAGGTAGATGAGAGACGGGTCCACCACAGATGCCTGCCTACTGGAACATGTGCGTGGGGCTCTTTGGGCTAGTGTGTGTGTTGGGGGGGGGCTGTGAACATGTGCGTGGCGCCAAGAGTGCGGAGTGGAGCAGGTAGATGAGAGACGGGTCCACCACAGATGCCTGCCTACTGGAACATGTGCGTGGGGCTCTTTGGGCTAGTGTGTGTGTTGGGGGGGGGCTGTGAACATGTGCGTGGCGCCAAGAGTGCGGAGTGGAGCGGGTAGATGAGAGACGGGTCCACCACAGATGCCTGCCTACTGGAACATGTGCGTGGGGCTCTTTGGGCTAGTGTGTGTGTTGGGGGGGGCTGTGAACATGTGCGTGGCGCCAAGAGTGCGGAGTGGAGCGGGTAGATGAGAGACGGGTCCACCACAGATGCCTGCCTACTGGAACATGTGCGTGGGGCTCTTTGGGCTAGTGTGTGTGTTGGGGGGGGCTGTGAACATGTGCGTGGCGCCAAGAGTGCGGAGTGGAGCAGGTAGATGAGAGACGGGTCCACCACAGATGCCTGCCTACTGGAACATGTGCGTGGGGCTCTTTGGGCTAGTGTGTGTGTTGGGGGGGGCTGTAAGCACGTGCTTCGGGGCAAACAACCTGGGGCGAGGGGGTCAAGAGAAGGCGTAACTCTAAACCCATGGGGGACACCCCATAACTCAACCAAGCAATCCCACCCACATGTGCGCCGCAGCCACGTGCCGACACCCATGCTCCAGTGGGCAGGCCATTCCCCACTCCCTAAACCTGAAACCCCAAACCTGCCACCCTAGTCACGCATACTAGACCGGAAGGTCCCAAGCACATGTGCACAGCGCAGCCAGGTGCCGACGCCCATGTTCCAGTAGGTGGGCATCTGCGCCAGACTCGTCCCTCAACCACCCGCATGCCAACTGGAACATGGGTGTCGGCTCGTGGCTGCGGCGCACATGTGCGTAGGACTCGATGCAGGCCTTTGGGGGTTACGTCTTCTCAAGATTTAGGTTTTTGGGGTCTTGGGGTTGGTGCGTCGCATACAAGGCGACTTTTGAGTCGACTCAAGTCACCTTGGGGTCTCGGGGTTGGTGCGTCGCATACATGGGGATGCGAGCCGGCAGTGGTAGGATGCAGGTGGTTGAGAAAGCGAAAGTGGAAGCATTCTCTTGAACAGTCTGGGGCATGGCGTGCAAGCTCTCGAACAGGTACATTTCAAGTCGCAATTTGTATCAAGTCGCAATTTGTTTCAGACCGCTCCAATCCATGCTTCCTCTCCACCTCCCCACTCCTCCCTGTTTCCCCTCCCTCAGACGTTTACGACCGGGTGACACCGCGCTCGGGCAAGCCCACCATGTGGGCGCTCGTTTTCAAAAGCACGTCTTTCTCCCATCTGACAGATTGCTCATCCTCCAACCTGCCCACCTCCCCACTCCCCCCCACTTAACTCCCTCAGACGTGTACGACCGGGTGACACCTCGCTCGGGCAAGCCCACCATGTGGACGCTCGTTTTCACTCAAGTCGTCTCTGCGCTCTGGCATGTGAGTCGTCTCCGCGCTCTGGCTTGTGAGTCGTCTCCGCGCTCTGGCATGTGAGTCGTCTCCACGCTCTGGCATGTGAGTCGTCTCCGCGCTCTGGCATGTGAGTCGTCTCCGCGCTCTGGCATGTGAGTCGTCTCCGCGCTCTGGCATGTGAGTCGTCTCTGCGCTCTGGCATGTGAGTCGTCTCCGCGCTCTGGCATGTGAGTCGTCTCCACGCTCTGGCATGTGAGTCGTCTCCGCGCTCTGGCATGTGAGTCGTCTCCGCGCTCTGGCATGTGAGTCGTCTCCGCGCTCTGGCATGTGAGTCGTCTCCGCGCTCTGGCATGTGAGTCGTCTCCGCGCTCTGGCATGTGAGTCGTCTCCGCGCTCTGGCATGTGAGTCGTCTCCGCGCTCTGGCATGTGAGTCGTCTCCGCGCTCTGGCATGTGAGTCGTCTCCGCGCTCTGGCATGTGAGTCGTCTCCGCGCTCTTGCATGTGAGTCATCTCAAAAGCCCTTGCGCGTCCCCACCCGTCCCACACTCTCCACCTCGTCTCCCTTTGCTAACGCCTCGTCTCCCTTTGCTAACGCCTCGTCTCCCTTTGCTAACGCCTCGTCTCCCTTTGCTAACGCCTCGTTTCTGTCAATTCCTCGTCTCCTCCACCTTGTCTCCCTCAGCAAATTGGTCTTCTGAGCACCACCACCACACTCCACCCCCTCATACCCCTCTGCCTCCCATCGCCATGCCCCTCATCTCACTGTTTCCACCACACTCTACCCACTCGTACCCATCTCCTTTTTCCCCCCTCCCTCGTCGCACAGGGTCTTCAACCAGGCTACTACCTCTTCTTTGTCAATGGTGCCATCGGCCAACACACCTCCAAGCGTGTGTTTCCTCGCCTCACTGCCATTGCCTCTTTGAGATGCACAAAATGGTTGTTTGTATGAGATGCACAAAATGGTTGTTTGTATGAGATGCACAAAATGGTTGTTTGTATGAGATGCACAAAATGGTTGTTTGTATGAGATGCACAAAATGGTTGTTTGTATGAGATGCACAAAATGGTTGTTTGTATGAGATGCACAAAATGGTTGTTTGTATGAGATGCACAAAATGGTTGTTTGTATGAGATGCACAAAATGGTTGTTTGTATGAGATGCACAAAATGGTTGTTTGTATGAGATGCACAAAATGGTTGTTTGTATGAGATGCACAAAATGGTTGTTTGTATGAGATGCACAAAATGGTTGTTTGTATGAGATGCACAACCTCGTTCCAGACCTCTTCTTTGTCAATGGTGCCTTTGAAACGAGGTTCCTGGCCTCTGTGAGATGCAAAGCCTCGTTCCATACCTCTATTACATGCAAAATCTCGTTCCATACCTGCTTTGTTTGTTCAGACGCACATCTAAAGCACGACCACCGACGGCATGTGCACTAGCACTTGTTTCATGCCTAGTCCGAGGCTCAAGCCAAGTTTCCAAAGCACACTCACCCACTTATTGATCCTAACCCACACCCCGTGCATTCCCGCTCATGTGTCTGTGTGTGACATGGCACGGCATCGCATGACATGGCACGGCATCGCATGACATGGCACGGCATCGCATGACATGGCACGGCATCGCATGACATGGCATGTATCACCGCAGTGGCATTCCGGCACACGGCAGCAGCATTCCCGGAGCCATCAGCAGCAGTGAAGGCCATCCTGGACGTGCTGCAAGCCGCGTTCAAAATGCTCATCGTCAACTACTCCTTCGCTGGCTTCCTGGTACGTGGAGCATTGCTGGTACTGTGGTGGTGGTGGGGTCCTGGTGTGTTAAGAGGTTTCCTGGTATGCCGTGCCCTCCCACAAGGCAGCAGCCGTGAAGGTCACCATGCCCGCTCATGTGTCTATGTGCAAGCCATGTTCAAGATGTGCTTCGCTGGCTTCCTGGTGAGCCACAGGACCATGGGAAAGAGGAGCATGGGAAAGAGGAGCATGGGAAAGAGGAGCATGGGAAAGAGGAGCATGGGAAAGAGGAGCATGGGAAAGAGGAGCATGGGAAAGAGGAGCATGGGAAAGAGGAGCATGGGAAAGGGGAGCATGGGAAAGGGGAGCATGGGAAAGGGGAGCATGGGAAAGGGGAGGTGAAAGGGAAAGGGAAAGAGGAGCATGCCCGCGTGGTAACAGATGGGGCAGGTGTGTCACGCCTTCTTTCCTGCTGCAATCCGTGTTCAAGCAGCTCATCATGAACCACTCCTTCGCTGGCTTCCTCGTGAGCAAGGACAAGGGGAAAGGGGAAGTGACAGGGAAGAAGGGGAAAGAGGAGCACTTTTCCTGGTACCAGAAGGGCAAGGTACGTCATGCCGGCCTGGTAATGAGGGCAAGGTACATCATGCCGGCCTGGTAATGCGGGTGAGGTACGTCATGCCGGCCTCCACCCAAGCCATGTCCAAGCAGCTCATCGTGAACCACTCCTTCGCTGGCTTCCTCGTGAGAAAGGCCTTCGCTGGCTTCCTCGTGAGAAAGGAGAAAGAGGAACTCCTCTCTGCCTCTCTGGTATCTCATGCCAGCCTTCCCCAGCCGTGTTCAAGAAGCTCCTCATGAACTACCCCATTTCTGTGAATTCACAAATTTATATTCCGCTCTCTGCTATCCCCCCTCCTCCCCCCCTCCCCCCCAGGTGCTGCAAGCGGGGCAAGCCATAGTGGTGTGGCGTTCACTCCTCTTCATGGGCATGATCGTCCCTGTGTGTGTCTCTCTCTCTCTCATGCGCCGCATCCCTTTTCTCTCCCATTCCTTTAGCCTGCCCCCCTCTTCCATCCCCCCTCTCCCATCCGCTCCTTTCCTGTGGCTGTGAACTCACAAATTTGCATCATCCACCCCCCCCCCCCCCCCCCCACCAGGTGCTGCAAGCGGAGCAGACCATAGCAGTGTGGCGGTCGCTCTTCTTTATGGGAACGATCGTTCCCATCCTGCTCAACGTGCTGCTTTCCGTCTTTCCCACGCGCCCCCGACGCCACCGCAAGAAGGCTGAGTGATCTTCGATCAAATTTGGCTGTTGCTCGCATTTGCGCCCACGCACTCCTGGCGCCAAAAAATGGTCATGTTATGTCAAATAATGGAATCTTCGCCGGTTGATATGCACTGTTGTGTTCGGTGCTGAGCCGTCACTGACCACTGCGCTGCCCGACCTTCTATAGCGGCACATAAGAGGAGGGATATAAGGGCATACACCAGCTGTAGTTGATTCGTGCGAATCAAGATTAGGTAGGTACGCAGGTGTAGTTGAAATTGAGAAGCATCAAAGCCTACGGAAGAATAAAGCGAAACAGATTGCACATGGTTCCGTTATATTGTGTTTCGTACTTCCCCTCTTCTGTCAAATCCGACACATCACATGATTATGTCTGGTATAAAAATTCAGGTTATAGTGCCAACAATCTCTTGACGGAGAAGATCGTCTTTATCGAATATGACAAAAATGCGCAGAAGCACAAATTCGAACCGAAGCTCATAACGAGCACCAAGGTACACCCTGCCCATCCCCCCCTCCATAGCCATCCAGCCCAGGCAGTTACTCCTCTGTGGTACGTCATCTTTAGGAGGTTCGTGTCAGTGCCTCCTAAACCGTCGCATCTGCTTCCACGCGCGCATCTGATACGAGGTAGCGCCATGTTGTCGCGCCATCTCGGCCGCAAGGCCGCGGATCTCGGGATCGCGCGGTCTCCGGCACTGCTGCGATCGATCGCAACCGTTCCCATCGCCGACCGCCATGCGATCTTGTCGTCACCGCCTTTCACGCCCGTTCCATCCTCTATTACCGAATCGCCCGCAGCGTTCCCATCGCCACCCCATTTCTGCTTCTCCCGAGGTTCGTTTTTGCGAGAGTCGATGAAACGGCTGTTCAGCTTGTGCAGCCGCGGTTAGGGTTTCCTTATTTACCAGCTCAGAAGCACTTGGGGCTTCTTTTTGCGTTGTCTGCCGTGCAAGTGGATTCCACTGATTCGTACAGAAACAACTTAGGTGGACGATTGTTGTCAGTGTTTTTTTAAGAACCTACGCCATCAAGGTCACGGTTTCCGCTTAATGGCTGATGTTTTTTTATGTCGAATCGCTAGATTCGTAGCACGGCTGTCGTCGTACGATCTATCGACGTCGGAAATCCTTGTCCTGTTCCCCTTTCCCTTGTTTTCTTCCCTGTGTCTTTCGTCTTCCCTTTTGCCAACCTTCACACATCCATGGCACACGCGAGCGTTTACGTGTCTGATTGTTTGCGCACGAGGCACTTAGATGGGCCATGGGAAAGCTTATCTGAGTGTCTAGGTGCTCTCAGATGGGCTGACTAGCTGGCGCATGTTGCGTCAGTGCCAGCTCCTGCATTTTCTGTTAAAATACCTTAGACGAGTTTTTTCCTCGCTTCCTTCGTCCCACATTCCATTCCCTCGTCTAGATCCTCTCTTGCCTCTTCATTCATTCTCCTGATGCTTGCTTTTTCGTTCCTCCCTGTTCCTCCTCGTACCTTTGTCATCTCCTTCCCTCACAAACTGAATGCCCCTCAACCTTTCCAAGGCTGTCAAGCCTCTCGTGTCTTTCAAGCCTCTCGTGCCTTTCAAGCCTCTCGTGCCTTTCAAGCCTCTCGAGCCTCGCATGCCTGTTTCAATCCTCGCATCTGTCGCGTTTCGCCTTTTTAAACCTTCCACTGCCACACCTCCATCCGTACTCCCATCTCCGCTCTTATCCCCACGCCCATCCTTCCCATCCCTGCCCACCCGTCGCATCCCTGCACTAACCCTCCCATTCACCAGCCCTCCTCTCATTCTTCCGTTGTCCTTCCCCTGATCCCTGCCAGGTTTCGCTGTGGACACAGATTTGCCCGCCCCCATCCACCCCTGCATCTTCCCATCCACCAGAGCTCGCTAACAAGACGCCTGCCGCTCCCATAATCAACGACCAAGCCACCCACCAGATCTCTACGGTTATGCTCTGTCCCTCACGCCACTCCTCTCCCCCCTTAGATGCTCCGTCCCTCCCACCCCTTTCCTCCCCCCTCACAGGCTTTTCTGTCAATGCAGCACTGACCACCAGCCAGCCCACCCGTTTCCCCCACGGAGCTCGCCCCCAAGGCGCCCCCCACCACCAGCACCTACGACCAAACCAGTCCACCACCATTTCGCAGCAATTAAGCTCCGTCTCTCACATCTCTCCCTCCCCCCCCCTCACAGGCTTTGCAGCAGATGCTGCACTCACCACTGCTCCGCCCATCGGCCCCACGGAGCTCGCCCTGAAAACCCCCTCCGCCACCATCACCTACGACACCACCATCTACGAGCGCCTGCCATGTCTTGACCATACAGCCCAGTATTTCCCTCGGGTGCTTCCCCTTTCCCACCCCTCCCCTCCCCCACCCCATCACAGGCTTTGCTGCCGATGCAGCACTCACCACAGCTCCGCCCATCTCCCCCACGGAGCTCGCCCTGAAAACCCCCTCCGCCACCATCACCTACGACACCACCATCCACGAGCGCCTGCCGCCCGGCGACCCGTCCAAGCGTGCCTTCACCTACCTCGTCCTCACGGGCGGCCGATTCATCTACGCGTCTGCCCTCCGCCTGCTCGTGCTGAAATTCATTCTCAGTATGAGCGCGAGCAAGGATGTGCTTGCGTTGGCTTCGCTCGAAGTGGACCTTGGGAACATCGAGCCTGGTAACACGGTTACCGTGAAGTGGCGCGGGAAGCCGGTGTTCATCCGCCGCCGTACGCCTGCTGACGTGGCGAAGGCCAATGACGTGAACCTCTCGGAGCTTCGGGACCCCGAGCCTGATTCGGCCCGGGCGCCGAATCCAGAGTGGCTGGTTGTGATTGGCGTGTGCACACATCTGGGGTGTGTGCCGCTGCCGAATGCGGGGGATTACGGCGGGTGGTTCTGCCCGTGCCACGGGTCGCACTATGACATCTCAGGGCGTATTCGCAAAGGACCGGCTCCCACCAACCTGGAAGTGCCGACTTACAAGTTCTTGGATGAAACCAAGGTGCTGGTTGGCTGAGCGGTGTACTTTAGCCTACATACAGTTCAACACTGTGATGTTATGAAGCTTCTCATTGTAGTTCTGTGGGTTTGATTTCTTGGTCTTTGCTTGCGGTTCTGACTAGGTAGTCGTGTCAGTGCCAGTTGCCATGGAATGCAGGAGTTGCTGGTGGTTGAGATGATGATGTCGATACGATCATACGGTACACTGTATTTGTGAGTGGAGGTAAACTGAGCAGCCAAAGCAACGAATTGGAATGGACACCGCGTTGTTGTGATGCAAAGCCATGAAATGTTGCACGATGATCACTACTCCTCGGTACAACTGTAACACCTGTGATCCAAGAGAGACCAACTATCACTAACGTGTTGCATCCCAGTCATTCCTCTTCTGCTTTCCTAGCTTGGTGGACGCTTTGTAATCCCCCGTATATAGGACCCCCCCCCCCCCCCCCCCAGTTGTAGACCCCCGGGTTTATAATACGGACCCGGGTACTATTCGAGTACATCTGAGTTATACCCCCTAAATGGCTCCTAACATATTAAGACCCCCCCCACATACTAGAGAAGTGCGGATTTTACAAAAAAAATGCAATTGAAAATGGTAACGAATTTCGAATTTCAAATGAGTCAACACCCATTTTCAATGTGTTTGACTTTCGAAGGCTTCACTTGTTGCGCGTCCAGTCAGGATGAGCTGGCACGCGGGCAAAGTGACGTGCCAAATCTCTGTGCACAGTCAGGGAAACGCCCTCGCCCGATTCTGATTCAGGACGCTGTAAAAGTTCGATTCGATTGAACTTACGAGACTGAAATGTACAACATCGTGCATTCTTATAAATGTCAATGTGAACAGACCCTGGTCTTCTAAAAAATATACCATTTAATTATACCCCCCAGCCTTTTTAGGGGTGATTATCATAATACCCTAGGGTTCTATATACCGGGGATTACGGTAGATGTGTGTTAGGCAGATGGAATACAGACGGTTGACGTCCTAGCATAAACATGACACAACCATCGGAAAAATGCCATTCCAGTCATCCGTCTCCAGTAAAGAGTATGAATACGGGAGTCTGGTTGGCTAAAGGTGAGCCCGTGCTGGCCCAGCTCGGAATTTGCCGAGTGAGCGTCAGACACGTTGACAGAATGCCGATGTGGAACTGAGCTTTTCCATTGCGGCTCACCAATCCGCGACTGCGAAACCTCCCAGCTGGAGTAGGCAATGATAGATACACACATCCCGCCAAGCTTCACCCATCGGACCTGCCCAAGCCGAACCAGATCCACGGAGATGTTCAGGGTGGCATGCGTGAGCGATCTCCAACGGAAAGTGAGTCTCAACGGCTTCGGAGGAGCCACAAACAGTTCGTATTGGTGGACATGAGGTTCAGCACGCATGATATTCGGACAACGCGTCAGAAGCGAAAGCTAGGCAGCTTTCGCCCAATCGCATGATTGCCACTCAAGCCGCATCTGCGCCGCTAAGCCAGACCTAGCCCGAGCCACTTGGCTCAAGTCAAGGAACATGTTTCCCCGAACAGAATCGAAGTCTCCCTCTTTGGGCAGGGACCATGTTTGGGCTGGGTGCAGGAAGTGCTGTGCTGCCTGCCGAACCACATGCCACACGCACGGGACGAGGTGGCACATAGTAAGAGGGTGAAAAAAACCCCAAACTCGGGGTTTGGCTGCTTGGAAGCATGGAATCCGTGGATGAATGGATATGGATGGATGGATGGTAGGATGATGGGAAGTATGGAGGATGGACGGATGGATTGGCCCTAGAGAAAGCCCACAACGAGCCTTGAGGTTTGGTGCTGCAGTGAATCCATCCACCCACCGGTGAGGCGAAACAGCTTGGAGATACGAGCGAGGGAAGTTGGATGTGGATGTCTACATGTTCTGACTCTCAATTCTGTTGCTCTCATTCTCGCTCTTATCTGTGAGCTTCTCTTTTGAAGAACCTTATTCGAAGAGGACCCAACAGGTTTCACAACTTGGTGTGTTTTGCATGTGCTCACGACCTGTTATAGGGTTTCTCTTTTTGGTTCGTAAGAGCTAAGCAGTAGCAATGGCGGCTGTCCGTGCGCTGTCGCTGTCGCTGCCGTCAGCTGCAGTGTCAGGCTCTGTCCGCCAGCAGCAGGACTCCTCGACCCCTTTCCAACCGCGCGGTGCGTTTCTCAAGTTCAATGGCCTCAAGAGCACCGCCAGTCTCCCGTCGTCGAAGCAGTCCGTGCGATCCCCTGCTATGTCGCGCAAGGCCTCCAACGACCCCGTGCGACGCCTCGTGACGACGGCCGAGTTCTCCAAGGTTCCCCAGGAGCCCATGGGCCTGTACGACCCTGCATTGGACAGCGACGCCTGTGGTGTCGGCTTCGTTGCCGAGCTCTCCAAAATCCCCACGCGCAAGACTGTAAGCTGCTCACATCCCTTCTCGAACGTCTTTCAGATTCAGATACTCTCGTCCGCAAGCCTGCTGAGATATAAACAGATCGTTCGGTAGCATTCTAGCTAGCCTCGATTGCATATGTTTTTACCCGAATTACGGGAAATTTTAACACAGCACGCGGCTGCGTCCTTCTGTATTCGATACAGCTCCGTCGTTGCTTACCTCGATATTGTGGGTTGTGTTTCTTTCCAGGTGACTGATGCGCTCGAGATGCTTATCCGCATGGCGCATCGTGGTGCGTGCGGTTGCGAGGTCAACACAGGTGACGGCGCCGGTATCATGGTGGCTCTGCCGCACGACTTTTTCGTCAAGGTGACTGCCGTCACCCCAGCCTCCTCGTCTCTGGATTCGAGCTTAGGACATGTTCGTGCCACAAAAAAAATGCAGTTATGGCAGCTGCATTTTCCTGCTTCCATCTTGTCCCTTTCTCGATAGATTTGTTCGACGGATTGTTTCCTAAACTCACGGTGCGTCGTCGTTCGTTGGATTGTTTTGATTAATCTCTTTCTTACTGTGCAGGTTGCCAAGGTGGATGCTGGCGTGACTCTCCCGGCGCTGGGGGAGTACGGCGTGGGAATGTGCTTCCTCCCCACGGATAAGAAGCGCAGGAACCGCGGCAAGGAGGCGTTCAACAAGGTTCGGCTCTGCACTCCACACCCCAGCCGCGTCGTGCCACCACTCCAAATTTCTCTTGCGCATGTTCTCAAACGCTCGCCTTAACTTATCGTTCATGACCGAACTTCCTTTCGTTTCGCTGGACTCTGACCCCCCCTGTTGGTGGTTTGTTTGTCCTTCATGGTGGTGATCCGTTTTGGTGATCCTTTCTGGCGATCTCGCGCCGCAGGTGGCGGAGGAGATGGGGTGCAAGGTGCTGGGGTGGCGGCGCGTGTTAACGGACAACGCGGATCTGGGCAAGGCGGCGCTGGACACGGAGCCCATCGTGGAGCAGGTCTTCCTGCTCGTCAACAAGGACTCGCACCTCGAGGCCGAGCAGCAGATGTGGCTGCTGCGCCGCACTGCCATGAAGGCCGTTCGTGAGGCGCTCAACCTCAAGGTCGGCGGCACCCGCGACTTCTACATTTGCTCGCTCTCCACCAGGTTCGTTGATCCCTTGGTCTCTTCGTCCATCCATCCTTTCGCTTGGTCCATCGGACTGTTTGTCCCATGGGCCTTCCACTTTTTTCTTGTTGGCTTGTCGATAACCATTTTCACAATGAGAGTTTCTTTGTATTCAAGATAAGGATTGGCTTTCCACCGGGTCACCGAGTTGGCATTTACGCAACAGTCTGAGCACGTGTGAGGAAACAGCATAGATCCGATGAAAATATGAGGAAACAAAAGTGATTGTACAAGGCGACCATGCTGTCCTAGTGCTTGACACGTCTTTCCCGTGTACGTGCGGGTGCGTGGACGTGCATGTTTGGGGCAATGCAGGACGATTGTCTACAAGGGGCAGCTGAAGCCGGAGCAGCTGCAGGGCTACTACCACGCCGACCTCGACGACGCTCGCTTCACCTCTTACATGGGCCTCGTGAGTTGCCCCTCCACCTGTTCTCCCGTTCGCCCGCTCGCTCGCTCGTACCCCCGCGCGGCCCCATGCCTTCCTGTTTGTTCGCACTGAATTCATCCCAGTTTTGTCGCTGGGTCTGGCTAGATTTGTCGTTTCCAGCAATACGTTGCGCCGTTTCCTCCCTCACTATCCGCGCATTCCCCTTCTCCCTCTCTCTTTACCAGGTGCACTCGCGGTTCTCAACGAACACTTTCCCGAGCTGGGAGCGCGCGCAGCCGATGCGCATTCTGGGGCACAACGGCGAGATCAACACGCTGCAGGGCAACGTTAACTGGTCAGTCGCTGCGCCTGTTGTTGCACACCGTGTCTGTCACACGCTGATTCTGTCGCACGCTGGTTCTGTCACACGCTGGTTCTGTCGCACGCTGGGTCTGTCGCACATAAGGTCCAGCAACGAGCAGCTCGAAAAAGGCTCGTGGGTTCTGAGGATCTAACCAACACTACCACTTCACCATTTCCCCCACCGCAGGATGCGCGCGCGCGAGGGGCTGATGAAGTGTCCGGGGCTCGGCATTTCCAAGGAGGAGCTGGACGCCGTGCTGCCCGTCATCGACGCCAACTCGTCCGACTCGGGCGCGTTCGACGGCGTCCTCGAGATGCTGGTGCGCGCCGGCCGCACGCTCCCCGAGGCGGTCATGATGATGATTCCCGAGGCGTGGCAGAACGACAAGAACATGTACCCCGAGAAGAAGGCGCTCTATGAGTACCTCTCCGCGCTCATGGAGCCCTGGGATGGGCCCGCCCTCATCGCCTGTAAGCTTCCCTGTAACCCACCGTCTAATCACCTAGGATTGCCCGCTCTCATAGCCTGTGTTCTACTGGTTTATTTCCCTTCTCTCATTACCTTTTGCCTCCATGACAAGAGCTGGTTTTCCATTCGAACCTTTCCTCCAACCTCCTCCCTATCCCCCCATTCCATCCCCCATGCTGCAGTTTCCGACGGGAAGTACGTGGGTGCGACTCTTGATCGCAACGGTCTGCGTCCCGGCCGCTACTACGTGACGCACAGCGGCCGCGTCATCATGGCCAGCGAGGTGGGCGTCGTCGACGTGGACCCTGCTGACGTGGCGCGCAAGGGCCGCCTGAACCCCGGAATGATGCTATTGGTGGACTTCGAGAAGCACGAGGTGGTGGACGACGAAGCGCTCAAGCGCCAATACTCGAGCCAGCGCCCCTACGGCGAGTGGCTGGCCAATCAGAAGCTGACACTCGGCGACATCGTCGCGTCCGTCCCGGAGGCGGACCGCGTGCCGCCGCCGATCGCGGGCGCGACGGAAGTCGATCCCTCCGCTGATAAGACGATGGAGACGATGGGTATCAACGGGCTGACGACGCCGCTGAAGGCGTTCGGGTACACGATCGAGGCTCTGGAGATGCTGCTGCTGCCCATGGCGCAGACGGGGTCCGAGGCGCTGGGATCCATGGGGAATGACACTCCGCTGGCGTGCATGTCCACGCGGCCCAAGCTCATGTCGGAGTATTTCAAGCAGCTCTTCGCGCAGGTCACCAACCCCCCCATTGATCCCATCCGCGAGGCGGTTGTCACGTCGACCGAGTGCATGGTGGGTCCGGAGGGGGATCTGACGGAGACGACTGAGGAGCAGGCGCACAGGCTGTCGCTCAAGGGCCCGCTGCTGACGCCGGAGGAGACGGAGGCGATGAAGAAGATGGACCACCGCGGCTGGCGCACGGCCGTCGTGGATATCACGTTCGCCAGGAGCGAGGGGCCGGACGGGCTTGAAAAGGCGCTGGATCGGATCTGCGCTGAGGCGAGCCTGGCGATCGAGGCTGGTTACAAGATGCTCGTGCTGTCTGACCGAGGTGAGCGGGGATTCAGCGGTGCTGGGGTGCGTGGTTGCTGGGTGCCCAGTTTTGGGTGCTGGTATGGGGTTCGGGTTTCGGGTTTAGGGGCTGAGATGCTTGAGAGCTGTTTTATCTTGAGAGGTTTTTAGCGGGTTTGTGATGCCCCAGGCTGTTGACTTGGGTCTGCGCCTATCCCATGGGCCAAGCACTCTAGATGCTTTTGTTCGTGTGAGCCACATTATGGCAGTGGGAGTCGGCACAATCAGTCCGCTGGTGCCTGCGGGTGCGGTGCACCAGTATCCCGTGCGCACGCTGCAGCGCACGCACTCACACCTCCCCTCATGTCCCTTTCCCACCATCCACCCCCCACCCTCCCCCCCATCCCTTTACAGCCACGTCCCCGACCCGCGTGCCCGTGAGCGCGCTCCTGGCCGTGGGCGCGGTGCACCAGCACCTGGTGCGCACGCTGCAGCGTACGCGGATCGGCATCGTGGTGGAGTCGGGCGAGCCCCGCGAGGTGCACCACTTCTGCACGCTCGTGGGGTTCGGCGCCGACGCCATCTCGCCCTACGTCGCCACCGAGGCCATCTGGCGCCTGCAGGTGGACGGCAAGATCCCGCCCAAGGCGGACGGGTCGCTCCGCACCAAGGACGAGCTCATTCGCACGTACTTCAACGCGAGCAACGCGGGTATGCTCAAGGTGCTGGCGAAGATGGGCATTTCCACGCTGGCTTCGTACAAGGGCGCGCAGATCTTCGAGGCCTTGGGGTTGTCGAGCGACGTGGTGGACCGGTGCTTCCGGGGCACGGCGAGCAGGATTCAGGGCGTGTCGTTTGACATTCTGGCGGCTGATGCGATCCGTATGCACGACCAGGCGTTCCCGCTGGGGACTGAGAAGAACCTTGCGGAGGATTCCGCGGATGCTATTGCGGTGCCGAACCCTGGGGATTACCATTACAGGAAGGGTGGGGAAGTGCATTTGAACGATCCGGTGGCGATCTCGCGGCTGCAGGAGGCCGCGCGGACGAATAGCCCGGCGGCTTATAAGGAGTATGCGGCGATTACGAACACGCTGAACCAGCAGTGCAACCTGCGCGGCATGCTGAAGTTCAAGCCGGCGCCAGGTGGCGCGATACCATTGGAGGAGGTGGAGCCGGCGAGCGAGATTGTGAAGCGGTTCTGCACGGGAGCCATGAGCTACGGGTCTATCTCTCTTGAGGCGCATCAGAGCCTGGCGATTGCTATGAATACGATTGGAGGGAAGTCGAACACGGGCGAGGGAGGCGAGAACCCGTCCCGGCTGGTCCCTAACCCGGACGGGAGTAACAATATCCTCAGGTCGTCGATTAAGCAGATTGCGAGCGGGCGGTTTGGCGTGTCGGCGTATTACCTGACGAACGCGGACGAGCTGCAGATTAAAATGGCTCAGGGCGCGAAGCCCGGAGAGGGAGGCGAGCTGCCCGGGCACAAGGTGATCGGGGATATTGCCATCACGAGGAACAGCACGCCGGGAGTGGGGCTCATCAGCCCGCCGCCCCACCACGACATCTACTCCATTGAAGATCTGGCGCAGCTCATTTACGATCTCAAGGTGAGCTGTTGTGAGCGACCGGTGATATGGTTAAGGGGTGGTAGAGGGAGGCTGGTAACCCCGTGTGAGCATGTTTGGGGAATCACAAGTTCGGCTGTGTGGTCAGACCACGGTCTAGTTGAGGGTGAACCAGATCGTGTCCTCTTATATGCCCTTCCTCTTCACTGTGGGGTGTTTTTGAGAGTTCTCAAAAACTTCCTGCAGCGTAAAGAGTTCGGGTGGATGTGTGGAGTAGTTGAGGGTGAATCGGACCATGTCCTCATATTCGCCCTTCCTCTTCACTTCGATCTCCTAAACCCCGTCCTGGATGTATGCCTTGCCCTTCCATCCACCTGTCTCTCCTGTCCTAAACTCCCCAAAACTCCAACCCAGGCCGCCCACGTGCTCATCTCTGCCTCATCCCTGTCTCTTCCCATCCCGCCCTCCCCCTTTGTATCCAGAACTCCAACCCGGGTGCGCGTGTGAGCGTGAAGCTGGTGTCCAAGGCGGGTGTGGGAGTGATTGCAAGCGGAGTGGTGAAGGGCCATGCGGACCATGTGCTCATCTCGGGCCACGACGGCGGCACCGGTGCGTCCCGCTGGACCGGCATCAAGTCCGCCGGCCTCCCCTGGGAGCTCGGCATCGCCGAGACCCACCAGACGCTCGTGGCCAATGACCTGCGCGGCAGGACTGTGCTGCAGGCGGACGGGCAGATGAAGACCGGAAAGGATATCACAGTCGCGGCGCTGCTCGGTGCTGAGGAGTTTGGGTTTTCGACCGCGCCGCTGATTACCCTTGGGTGTATTATGATGAGGAAGTGCCATAAGAATGTGTGCCCGGTCGGGATTGCGACCCAGGACCCGGTGCTTCGCGCGAAGTTTTCCGGGCAGCCGGAGCACGTGATCAACTATTTCTTCATGGTGGCGGAGGAGGCGCGCGAGTACATGGCGCAGATGGGCTTTAAGACCATGGACGAGATGATCGGCCGCGCCGACATGCTGGAGCAGGACATGGAGCTCTGTAACTCCAACCCCAAGCTGCACAACATCGACCTCTCCGTGCTGCTCACCCCCGCCGCCACCCTCCGCCCGGGGGCGGCCCAGCGGTGCGTGCAGAAGCAGGACCATGCTCTCGAGCTGGCGCTCGACCAGAAGCTGATTCAGCTTGCGCAGCCCGCGATCACGCAGAAGATTCCGGTGTTTGCCGAGGTGCCGATTGTGAATGTGAACCGCGCCGTGGGGACCATGCTGTCGCACGAGGTCACCAAGGTGCATCGCCTGGAGGGCCTCCCTGCTGATATGATCCATTTCAAGCTCACGGGCAGCGCTGGGCAGAGCTTCGGCGCGTTTACCTGCAAGGGGCTGACTCTGGAGCTGGAGGGGGATAGCAATGATTATGTGGGCAAGGGGCTGTCTGGCGGGAAGCTGATTATCTACCCGCCCGCCGCGTCGACGTTTGATCCCAAGGAGAATATCATCATTGGGAATGTGGCGCTGTATGGTGCTACGTCTGGCGAGGCGTATTTCTGCGGTATGGCTGCGGAGCGGTTTGCAGTGAGGAATTCTGGAGCTAGGGCGGTTGTTGAGGGTGTGGGGGACCACGGGTGCGAGTACATGACGGGCGGCACAGTGGTGATTCTGGGCGGCACTGGGAAGAACTTCGCCGCGGGAATGAGCGGCGGGACGGCGTACATCCTCGACCGGGAGGGAGACTTCCACAAGAGATGCAACACAGGGCTTGTCGACCTCGACCCTGTAGTGGAAGAGGCAGACGTGCTGCTGCTGCGCTCCATGATTCAGCAGCACCAGAGGTATACCAAGAGCAAGCTGGCAGGCGAGGTGCTGGCGGAGTTTGAGGAGCTGCTGCCCAAGTTCGTGAAGGTGTTCCCGAGGGACTTTAAGAGGGTGCTGGAGGAGGAGAGGGTGAAGCGGGAGAAGGAGGCGGCGGCGCTCAAGGAGAAGGACGCGTTCGAGGAGCTCAAGAAGCTGGCGGCCGCGAGTGGAGGGGAGGTCAACGGGTCCGCTGCTGTGGTGAGTGAGGGCTGCTGTTGTGCTGGTTTTCGTTTGTTTTGTTGTTTGAGGAACTCTAGAGGTTGGCGGAGGCGAGTGGGGGGAAGCAGGAAGTCAACGGGTCCGCTGCTGCCGTATGTTTGTCTCGCCCTTTCCAATGCTTGGCCCACGCTGCCTTGCAGAGGATCAGGCCACCTTCTTCCCACGAAACGCCATCCCTCTCACGCCCTGCCCACTCCCCCTCACCTGCATGTGACTCTCCCCTCCTCCCCCGCCCTTCCCTCCAGGTACCCCCCAAGCGCCCCACGCGCCTCCCCACGCCCGTCAAGTTCGGGGGGTTCATGAAGTACGAGCGCGAGCCGCTGCCTTACCGCCCGGCTGAGGAGCGCCTCACTGACTGGGGCGAGGTGCTGGCCTCCGACCCCGGCCGCCCCGAGCTCCTCAAGACCCAGTCCGCCCGCTGCATGGACTGCGGCACGCCCTTCTGTAACCAGGACAAGTCGGGGTGCCCGCTGGGGAACAAGATTCCCGAGTTCAATGAGTTGGTGTACCAGGGCCGGTGGAAGGAGGCGCTGGATCGGTTGCTCGAGACGAATAACTTTCCTGAGTTTACGGGGCGGGTGTGCCCTGCGCCGTGCGAGGGCGCATGCGTGCTGGGGATTATTGAGAACCCCGTGTCGATTAAGACGATGGAGCTGAGCATCATTGACAAGGCGTATGAGATGGGATGGATGGTGCCCCGCCCGCCTGCCAAGCGCACTGGGTAAGATCTGGGGAGGTGTTGGGGTGTTTGCAAGGTGAGTGTGAGGGGAGGGGAATGAACATGCCATAGGTGTGCGTAAGATGATTAAGACGATGGAGCTGAGCATCATTGACAAAGCGTATGAGATGGGATGGATGGTGCCCTGTCCCCTGCCAAGCGTACTGGTAAGTCTTTGGGAGAGGGTAGGCGTAGTGTGTGCCTGATGAATGTGAGGGAAGGAGAGGGGGAAGCGTGCATGTCAGGGGTGTGCGTGCCTTGGGTGTGCGTGTTGGGCATTATTGGGATCCCGGTGTTGATTAAGACGATGGAGCTGGGTCGTAAAGGCGTATGAGGATGGAGTGGATGGTGGATGGTGCTGACCGGCAAAGAATTGGGGAGAGATGGAGTGTTTTGGCTGGTGGAGTGTGAGGGAATGGGAAGGTACCAAAATTTACTAAATCACCACAAAAAAATTTCACACGCTACGGCTGTGCTTACTGCGGATCCTGCATTAAGGTTCTGACTAATTCAAAACCGCACCTGTTAACCCTTCCCCCCCCTCCTCTTACCTCTATTCCCCCTTAACAGCAAGAAGGTGGCGGTGATTGGCAGTGGCCCCGCCGGTCTGGCCGCGGCCGACCAGCTGAACAAGCGCGGGCACACGGTGACGGTGTACGAGCGGGCGGACCGCATCGGAGGGCTGATGATGTATGGCGTGCCCAACATGAAGACGGACAAGACCCATGTGGTGCAGCGCCGTGTGGACCTCATGGCCGCCGAGGGCATCACCTTCGTCACCAATGCACATGTGGGCGTGGACGAGCAGTACAGCCTGGACAAGCTCCGAGCAGACACTGATGCTATGCTGCTTGCCTGCGGGTCGACCAAGCCAAGGGATCTGCCTGTCCCCGGGCGCGAGCTCAAGGGCGTGCATTTCGCGATGGATTTCCTATCGGCGAACACCAAGTCGCTGCTGGACAGCGGGCTGAAGGATGGGAGGTTTATCTCGGCGGAGGGCAAGAAGGTGGTGGTGATTGGTGGGGGTGACACGGGCACGGACTGCATTGGGACCAGTCTGAGGCACGGGTGTGAGTCGCTGGTGAATCTAGAGTTGCTGCCGCAGCCGCCGCCGTCCCGCGCTGATGGCAACCCCTGGCCGCAGGTATGGTGGTGGGCGTGGTGCTTGATGTGTGTTCAGGGTGATTGTTGAGTCATCCTGGCCAGTTCTGATCATGGACCCGTGGACACAGGTAGGGTAGCTGCTGTTGTGCTAATGCACTGCTGATGTACACTGCACTTGACACCCGGTGGCCTTGCATCAAGGCCAGGTGTCCTCGCTCTCACAACCACCCCTTGCCACCCCTTTCCACCCCTCACCTCCACCTCTTCACCCCTCCCTCCCGCCAGTGGCCGCGCATCTTCCGCGTGGACTATGGCCACGAGGAGGCCAAGACCAAGTTCGGGGCGGATCCCCGCTCCTACGAGGTTCTCACCAAGCGCTTCATCGGTAACGATGCGGGTGAACTGACGGGCATCGAGACAGTGCGCGTGCAGTGGGCGAAGGACGCTTCTGGGCGGTTCCAGATGAGCGAGGTGGCCGGGTCCGAGGAGGTGATCCCTGTCGACCTCGCTCTGCTCGCCATGGGCTTCCTGGGTCCCGAGCAGGTCAGTGCGCTGCTGGGAGTGCTGGGAGTTGGGAGTTGGGAGTGTTTGTAGTGGTGCATTGGGTCGGAGTGCTTGTCAGGCAACCGCTTACCTTACCCCCTCCGTCTCCTGGGTGCAGAACGTGGCGGAGAAGCTGGGGCTCAAGACGGACGCGAGGAGCAACTTCCAGGCGGACTATGGGCAGTTTGCCACCAACCTGGAGGGCGTCTTTGCTGCCGGCGACTGCCGTCGCGGACAGGTACGGCCCTGCTACCTAGCCTCGTTTCTCCTGTGCCTTGAAATGCCTTGGTTCTCCTTTGCTTTGCTTTGTACTGATCTTTGTGCCAAGTGCTTTGTCAGGGCAGCTGCTGCCTCCCTGCTATGTTATGGTAGTCACTGTTCTACTCTGAAACAACCCACCTTCTGCCTGTCCCCCTGCGCTCCCCTTCTCTGCAGTCTCTGGTGGTGTGGGCTATCGCGGAGGGCCGTGGCGCAGCGGCGAACATCGACGCATATGTGATGCGCGGAGAGGAGGTGGACATGGCACCGGAAGAGAGGGAGCTCGTGGAGGTGGCTGCCAGGGCTGTTGTTGCTGTGGACGCTGCTGAGCGGAGCGCTGCCACCAATGGCAGTGCCACTAACGGGAGTGCCACTAATGGAAGTGCTACAAATGGCAGTGCCACGAAGGGGAGAGCGTTCCCAGAGGGCGTGGAGCAGGCACGCGTGGAAGCAGTTGATGTGAGTTGAAGGGGTTTGGTTGATGGCTTGGGAGTGGGGGTGGTTGGGCTGGTGGGTGATGGGCATCGGGGATGGGTTGCGGGCTGGAGGGAGAGCTTTCCGGGAAGGCATGGAGCAGGCACACGTGGATGCAGTTGATGTGAGCTGAAAGGGTCGATGGGAATGGGAGGAATGTGTGTGATGTGTGTTGCAGTGTCGATGCGACTTGATGGGAAGGTTTTGAGCCTGAGTTGTTGCTGGCAAGCCTTTCATGCTGTGCTGAGTGAAAAACTCTTCACTCTTGTGTGCTTGTCTGCCCTTGACCTAGCTCCAGTTTCACCCGACCTAGCTCCAGTTTCCCTTAGCGTGGACAGCAAGATAGGCAGAGACATGGGACAAGTGCTCTTTTCTCCTCCCTCAACTCCTCAACCATTCCCACCCGTGATGTTTGTCCCGCCATTCCCATTCCCAACCGTGATGTTTGTCTCACCAGGCGTGTCTGATGGTGGAGGGAGAGGACGACACGGAGCACATTGAAGCGTGTGTGGAGAAGAGTGTTGAGGCTGCTGCCTTAGGGGATGGTACCCCTGTGTCAGAGCAAAGCTATTAGAATTTAAATTTGTTGGTCATGTTTTGGAGGGGATAAGTTTTATTCCATATCAGTGTGTTCAGGTGTTACTGTTATATGACATGGTAATCAGAAACTTTCAGCTGAGTAAGCTGCATGAATGAAATGGAAATCTGAGGAGTGAAATATGCCTTGCTTGTGTACACGTTTGTACTACAAGTTACGTTGAACATGCACCAAAGCTAGGCTGCTGGTTTGGCCTGCGGCGATGTGGCGTCAAGGCCGATGTGTCGGACCTTCCAGAGATGTTTGGGGGGCCATTTTCACAAGCAGGCGCCGCAACTAAAATTCCCTGGACACCCTAGGACCGCGCTCTAAAAGCTCCTGCCAAGGCGAGCTGGCCCACACTGCTTGTTTGCGACACGTGACGAAGAAAGGTACAGTAACAGCCCTCGTTCGAAGGAATGCCAAGAGTTCCTAACATCTTAGGGTTGATGCTCCCGAGCTGCATGCCTTCCGGATGTGTTTTAGTTTCTTTCTTGCCCGCGGGCAGATCGCTTCCGCGAGCACGCGGAAGCGGTCGCGGATTCGCCCGCGTTTTTCCGACAGGGCTCGTATGAACATTTGAAAATCTGCTCCGATTACATGCGACGGGAAATACTGTGAGTGGGCTCATTCGTGTGGGAACTGATGGCAGCGAATCAATATATTTCTGCACATGCGCGGCTTCACTTTGTGACACCTAGCATTCCACTGTTCCGACAGGCGTTACAAAAACTTTCGAGCTCTCCGAGACACAATCTATAGGAATGCAGCATCGCTTTGATTCATCCAATCAAAGTGAAGGCGTGATCAAAGTATTTTTTAGTGAACTGCGACGTCGGAGGCCAGACGTCAATAGACGTCGAGCTCGACGTCGATCGACGTCGAAAGTGGCACTTTGATCACAATGCCGGCGACGAACTTTCACACAAGACAAATGCTGGCCTAAACAGTTGAACAATTGAATTCAGACGAATATCGGGAAGCGCTTCGTATGCGTATACAGTATGTCTATTGGCCGCGAAAAACACAGGCGAATTGTACAGCCTCGTCACTTTCGAGAATTCAATTCTTGTCGAACCGTTCTGCTGTCTGTTGTGGTCACGTTATCACTGTAGAGATGCGCTCAAAACCGTACAAGTGGCGATGCTGGCGTCAGCAATTCTTGAGGCGTACTTTGATCACAAAAAAGGCACCCCTCAGCTCACCTACCTCGCCCAACAACCTCGACGTCGGAAATTTGCAGCACTTTGATCACGCCTTCACGTCGACGGCCACTTGCTTCTCTTCTTTACCTCCTCATGTGTGAAGTTTCACTCCCTTCATTACGAACTCTGGCTGACTCATATCCCAACGACAGACTCTTTCCCACCAGCTTGATCTCCCTTGCACTCTCAGCATGATCTCCCTTGCATTCTCAGCATGGTCTCCCTTGCGCTCTCAGCATGACTTCCCTTGCGCTCTCAGCTTGATCCCAGCGAGTCTCTCTCTCTCTTGATCACTTCCTTCCAGCCGATTCTCCCCTTCTACTCCGAGTGACTTTCTTCTGAAGCGGCCAAACTGCTTGTTTGCGACATTGCTCGAAAAAGGGTTGGCTGCTGTCGAAGCAATGCCAAGAATGTGAGTCACTCTACTATTGGCTGATGAAGTCTTGTTTCTAGCGAGCAGGAGTCTTGACACCTCCTCCTGTGCTATCGGCTGTATCACACGAGACTTGCGAAGTCTGGCCTTCACTCCCCGCAAGTTTCTATCCCGAAGACTTACGGACTTTGCCTCCCCCTTCCAATCTGTAGGGTCACAGGGCATTCAATGCAGTTTGGTAGGTTTTCTACCAACGAAACTCGCGGACGAACTAGACTTGATCGCGGAAACCGGGTCCCCAGTTTTTGCGATGCTGATCCGTCGCAATGGCAGTGGGGTTGTGTCGCAACGGAAGCGCGACGACCTCCAATCAAGGATTATGTGGTCCTATTCCTCATCAGGACAGATTCGCTTCGGACGCTCGTCGCATGATCCCGCCCCTGCCCAGGGCGACTGAAGGGGGAACTCGTCGCACACCATGGACAGCGGCGTCGCGGCGAGGACAATCGTCGACTCCACTCGCGCCGAAGCTCCGAACCAAAATTCGCTTCTCCTGCTCTTCCTTAAGGAAGTATATTTACTCGCCGTTGGCCATCCCACACCACACAATTCCGACGTGGTCCTTCCCACAGTTTTTTTCATCCACCAGCAAGCAACGTGTGGTGCTAGTACCGCCGCTTGGCCTCTCTTGCACTCGTATCCGACCTAACTCCCCTGAGCAGCAGCTGCCGCAGCGCTATGGCCGCCATCGGAGCGCGCCGGGCCACGTTCTCCTTCGCGGGGCAGCTTCTCCCCCTGCTCGTCCTCGCTTTGCTGCTCCAGGCGCCCTCCGCGTCCGCCCGCCACTGGTTCTGGTACGACGCCCTCTTCCCCGTCGGCCCCTCAGGCGAAACGAATCCCGCCGCCGCGTTCACCGCAGAGACCGAGGGAGCGGCCGCGGGGGCTGCCGCGGCGCCGCTAGCCCCGGTGGCGGCGCCAGCGCCGGCGCCGGCTCCTGCGGTGTCGTGCTATGACGTCCCTGCGGGCCGTTTGATCGCGTCCGGAGCCGCGCCCGACCAATGTGCTGCGCTGGCGGCGGAGCTGACGCGCACTGCGGGGAAATTCGCGGGCAAGACTGGAGGGCAAGGATTTGCGGTTCCTTCTCTCTTCCGCGCCTGCCACTCCACGTTCCAGTTCAGGTACTGTACTGTACCACTATTGTTCTTGCACTGAGAAAAGTGTGTGCGTGTGTGTGTGTGTGTGTATAGTGTGTGTAAGTGTGTGTGTTGTGTGTGTGTGAGTGTGTGTGTGTGTGTGTGTGTGTGTGTGTGTGTGTGTGTGTGTGTGTGTGTGTGTGTGTGTGTGTGTGTGTGTGTTTGTTTTTTGTTAAGGCCATGCTATGGGCCACCGTAACCGAACTCCACGACTGCTGGGCTCGAGATTGTGTTGGCCTAATTTATTTTCTACGGTGGATCTGGCAGGAAGGACTGCGACGTGGAGGACCTGCTGTCGATCGCGAACGCGTTTGACAATCACTACGTGTACAAACACATCGCCGTTGACTCGCCGGACCAGACCAACCTGCCGAGCAGCATCGATATTGTCGCGGAACTGCGGAAGATTGTCGCGAACGCGGAGGCGGGGAAGTACCCACGGCTGGTTGACGCGCACATGGCTGCGTTCCGGGCAGTGTGGGCTCTGAATGACGGTCACACCACGTTCATGCCGCGATGCTTCATGGGAGAATTCAACCTGCCGCTGCCGCTCATGGCGGTTGTCGAAAACGCCCAGCAAATCATTCGCGTTGCGCCACGCCGATGTGAGTGTTGATCATTGAACAACCCCGACCGGGAGGGAATATATTCGTCACAGTAATGTGCGTTGTTCCAACTCTTACTCGGCACCCAACTGCAAAGCATAGCACCCCTAAACATCAAACTCCGTGTTCCTCTTTTCTATTAACTCTGGCCAGATATCACTCCCAGCGGCATGGACCATGTTGCGAAGGTTCTGCACAATTTTGACTTCGGCCTTTACGAAGGCCGACAGGTATGTGTTTGTTCGCAATAAGCAGCCTATCTCCGCGTTCGTTTTTTTTTATTACATCCTGCAATTGGGCTTTACACGCTTTATCTAAACTAATGCTTCATGCGCGTCGCAGGTGGTGGCGATAAACGGGGTCAAAGCGGAAAAATTCATCCTAGATTGGGCAGACAAGGAAATGGGCACGTATCGCAATCGCGCTTCGCGATTCACGAAAGCTTTCGCGAGGAATGAAGTGGAAGGAACAGCGAAAGGGACGAACATCGTCCAGGTGCCAGGCGAATTCGCCCGGCGAGCCTTTGCTCCCGAAAATGACACCTTGCTGATGTCCTTCACGACAGCGTGAGCTACAGTACCTTGATGCTCATTGGCTCTTCAAGATTCTTCCCTGCTGCTTGCTTGCTTGCTGGGTTTAGCTCACTCGTTCTCCTAAACGGTCCTCCACGCTTCATGTGTCCCCCTTTCCCCCCACCCTGCCCCTGCCCCACCGCTGCAATTCCCAGGGATGGAAGTTCGACGGAAGACGTAGAGGTGCCATGGATCGGGACAGGTGGGCTTGATCTCTTTGCAAATGCCACGGCATACTGGAAGGCCAACTGTGCCGTGAAGGACCCATCAGTTGCTGGCGGCAACAGCGTGCAGGCAAGGTCGCACTCAAGCGCACAGGCAAGCACGGTCGAACATGCAGACGCTCCGATGATTGACAGGTTTCTCGAACGCCATCCCGCTCCAGTCTACTACGACGATACGAGTGACAGCAGCGGCGACGATCTGAATGTCGAGATTGCGTCGCTTTCTGCTGCAGCAGCAGGACCGACTGTAACGAGGATCTCACCAACGACTGATTTTTATCTGGTGAGCGGGATGGCTTCAACCTGGGGGATAAATAGTGGAGGTTGTGTTGATTCGTGCATATTATGGGTTCTTGGGTTGTTAACTAGTTGTTAATCTATTGATTCCTGGGGCTTGCCATGTGTGCCAGCTGTTTTGTGTTTGCCATCTAGGGACTAGGGTGTAACAGCAATTGAGTGTCATTTGATATGCTCTGATCTGATGGTTTTCTGACTTAAGGCGACAGCCACGCCACACTTAAGCGAGCCTATAACGCCCGTCCAACTTGTTTTTCTGTGGGTGTGGGAGTGCACTTGTGCGCTTGTGCACGTGTGCATGCGTGCATGTGTGCATGCGTGCATGTGTGCATGTGTCCATGTGTGCATGTGTGCATGCGTGCACGTGTGCACATGTGCACGTATGCATGTGTGCATGTGTGCATGTGTCCATGTGCGCATGCGAGCAGGTGTACCTGGTGGGCGGCACCACGGCTGTGGTCTGGATTCACAAGTTCAGTCCCGGCGGCGCGGTGTCGCAGGCGTTGGCGGCAGAAAACATCGATGAGGAGCAGTATATGATTAAGGAGGTCACTAAGGCTCTCAACACCGCAGCAGCGTCAGTACTCCTCTTCCCTCTAGCTGTTAATCTATTGACCCTGCATCATCACATCCCCCCTTCCTTCTACTCTTCTACTACCCCCTCCAGGCCCCCTCCCGTCCCCACTCCATGTCTCATGCTAGTACCCTGCTCTCAACTCATCATTCACGAGACATGACCCCTTCCCCCCCCTCCCCGTCCCTTTTCTTCCCCTATCTACCTTTTAACCCTGTACTCCTCTCCCACTCCTCTCCTTCCTTCTACTACCCCCTCCAGCCCCGCTCCTGCCCGTCCCCACTCCATGTATCATGCTAGTACCCTACTTTCAATGCATCATTCACGATACATATTATCCTCATTACTTTCCCGCCCTTTCGCTACTTTCCCCCCTTTCCTCCACGCCTCCTTCCATGTCTCTTCCCTTGTCTCTTTCCCCCGCACATCCTCCCATGCGTCACCCCATGCCCCCCCTCCCCTCCCCCCCTCTCTTTCAGATCCAACGCCTCACACAGATCATCATAGACGCGCGTGGCAACGGTGGCGGCTCCGTTGCCGCAGCATTCTCAGCCATCCGGCTATGTGTCCGCATTTCCGCATGTCCTTCCCCTTGTCTCCCCCCCTCCCCTTTCAGATCCAACGCCTCGCAGATCATCATAGACGTGCGCAGCAACGGTGGCGGCATTGTGCAAGCAGCATACACAGCCATCCGCCTGCTCATGGGGGCAGCCAAGGTCCCCAACTCTGACTTCGCCCTGCCGATGGATTTCATCATCGGCACACCATACACCGAGAATGCCGTCAGCGTGCTCTCTGTCGAAGAAACGCTCTACTATGTAGGACTGTACACCGATCTCAACGGGACCGCCCTCTCCAGCGCCTATGGCTACGCTCCTTTCCGCAAGCTCCGCTTCACAGAGGCCGGACCTGCTGGCAACTACTCGGCGCCGATCAAGATAAGTCAAACTTTCACTGGGAAGCAAACGCAGCCGGTGTTTGGCAACCGCCCCTTCATGTTCCTGTCAGACGGAGACTGCTTCTCCGCCTGCTCCATCCTCACGCACGTGCTGGGGAAACGCCACAAAGTGCCCATGGTAACCGTGGGTGGTTTGCCCAACCAGCCCCCTGATGTGGGCTCCTCGTGCCTTGGGTTTACCCAACCTGACATCTATTCGATGGCACCAGGCCTCACCAAACTCGCTACCGTATTGCCAGAGAATGCGTCACTGCCTCTCAAGGTGAAAGGGGCGGTTGGCATGGCGTTTACTAATGGTTACGTGGATTCGGAGATTCCGTGCGAGTTTGAGTTTCTGCCCAGCCAGCATCACATCAACTACACTGTTGATCTCATTGACAAGCCCTGGGCCATGTGGAGTGAGGTGGCCAAGCTCTTTGCCTCCGCTGCTGCCTAGCCCATTCCTCAGGCACCCCAACGGTTGAACCACTTCAGCCTTATTATTAATGCCCCTCCATGTGTGGTGTTGGTTCGAAATGGGTCTCCTAGACTAATTGCTTATGCTGGTGGTGGAAATTTATCATGGTTATGGTGGGTATGTTGATGGATGGTGGTTGTTGTGCTGACGATGTTTAATTCATCTTGATGTTCAGAGTTTCTCATGAAGATCTGGGTGATAACGTATCATCCAGGTTTCACATAACGTATCATAACTCTGGCTGATTTCACCCCTGTTATGGGCAGACCTAATCACACCTGTCTGTACTAAGGGTCCATTCCGCTCTGTCCCAATAGAAAGTGTCCCAATCGATTCCACCGCACTGCATCTTATTACACCGAATTACACCCTAGTTTCGAACATTGTCAAACTTTTCGCGTCTCTGGTTTAGTTCGGTTCGGAGCGGTACACCCGATTGGGACATGTACTTTTGGGACATGTACTTTTGGGACATGTTCAAAGCGGAATACACCCTAAGATGCTTTCTTTCCAGCAACAATGTGAAAACCAATGACTGTATAAGTTATGGTGCAACTTGCTGGTGCAGATTGCTAGCTTTTTTGCGCGTGCAAAGAAGGTGTACAGCATACATGGAGATCATAAATGCTTGTTTATGAAAGCTATTTACGGGGATAAGTATACCCTCATCTTATTGTGCTACATGATGGGCATGTTTGTACAGTGAGTAATGCGAATACTTTCACAACGAAGCATTCTCGATCGAGCTGGAATGGTAGCCCAACTGTCCAGTGCTAGACGTGCAGCAGAGATGTGGGGAATAGTGAGTACGGGGTGAGCAACAGAGATTGGGGAAATGGTGAGTACGGGGTGAGCAGGGCTGACGATATCAGGGTAATTACCCTGATTTCAGGGTGATTACAGGCTTCTGACTTGGTGGTCCCTGCAAACACAGGTTTTGTATTTTGTGAACTCTGATCCTATCAGAGTAGCTACTTAACGGACTCTGAATTCTTGTAACTAGGCTCAGGGTAGTGTACTTGCGGAGTCTGTCAATGCAGAGTATGCGTTCCGTGGACCCTGAATGCGAGGGTATTGGGACAAAGTTTCCTAGAAGTTTCGTTTCGATAACCCCCTTGTGCGTAATCATTTCTTCGAGTGGCCCCATGTGAGGTACATCACTCACGCGCCCGTGAGTGACGTACCGTAATACCGACAAAGGACAACACTTACGTGCTGTACATCACAGCTGGCAACCACGCCAACGCAGCCAACTCAATGAGATGGTGCAGCCACGCGCACCGCACAGTGCACAGCATGTGTCTGCCATTGGCCAGAATGGCCTGTTGACAGCATGCGGTGGCAGCCAAGGAGTCCGTGAATGAATTCGGCCTTGAATGCAAGGACGAATTCATCGAGGAATGTTGCCATCAAGTCCGTGGAATCGCGGTGCGGTGGTTTCGTGCTCTCGCCATCTCCAACCTCCCCTTCCCTCCCCATACCAGCAGCCAACGTTCCTTTGTTCACTAGTGTGTTATTTCCATTACGTGCATTCATTGTCTCATTTTTCTCTCGTTCAGTTTAGCCACCAATGGAGGCCATGCGGGCCGACGAAGCTGCTCCGGACACTGGCCCCGACGAGCCGCCTGTAAGAGCGAAACCAACAGCGCCGTCCCAGCCGGAGAAAGCTTCGGATGCTCCCCGCTCTGGGCTAGATTTTATTAGATGTACGGCTGCTCCCGTCACACCTGAACCGCCTAGGTCTACCGTTCACGATTCTGCCCTTGTAGTAACCCCTACTCCTACTGCTTCTCCTACTCCCGTCCCGTTCACTCTCGCTCCGGCTGTTGCTGGCTGCAGCAAAAATCCTCCACCGCCCTCACCCAGTCTTACTCCAAGCACGGTGCGGGTGTCCGTTGGCCCGCCGTCGGCTACTTCCGCTCCCAAGCGTGCGCGATCTGGAAAGTGGGCGCAGAGTACTCTGCTGGTGGGAGGCCGCCGTATTCCACCGCCGGAAAAGCCCGATGAGCCTGCACAGAAAGAAGCTGAGCTGCCGGAAGAAGGTGACATCCCGGTGCGCGCGGATACCGGCTCGCCGGCACTCACCAAGACGCAGCTGCGAGAGCAGATGTACCTGGAGGCGAGTATTAATTACGAGACGAAGTGGGCTGGATACTTTTCCTGGCTTGTGTTTGGGAAAACCAAGGACGGTTTCCCGTACGTGAAGTGCAGCATCTGCATGTCGTACGGTAAGGGGAACACGAGGTACGCCATGCATGGAGACGACGGAGGCCGTGACTTGCAGACGCAGGCGTTCCGGGCGCACGAGCATACGGAGGCACACATGGCGGCGGTGGACCGCCAGATGAAGATTGCGGCGGGAATCCGCGAGGGGCAGCAGGTGATTTCGGACTTCATCAACTCCGACGTCGAGGGCCGCCGCGCGATACGGCTGATGCGGTCGACTCAGTTCCTGTGCCAGTGCGACGCGCCGATTAGCATGTTTCCTAAGCTGATGGGGCATCTTGCGGAGCAGGACACGCCAGACATTCCCCGGCAGTCGTACGGCGTTTATCTCACACTGTTAGTGACGGTTCAAATTGCTTGCAAATTTAAACATGCACGTCAAACAACTTGCTTGACTATCGTGTACTGATAATTTCTCTGTCCTTTGTTGCAGCTACGGCTTCCAGCAGATGGTCCACAGCATGAGCACTTACCTCACCCGGGTGCAGATGGACCACGTCCTGGCATCACCGTTCCTGGGCATCCAGTGCGACGAGAGCACTGACCGCACGCGAGGGAAACACATGATTGTGTACCTTACATATCTGAAGAACCGCCAAGTTGCATGCGAGTTTTTCACTTTGCTGACGGTCGAGCGGTGTGATGCAGGGTCCTTGTTTGAGGTGATGCTGAACCATCTTCGCTCCGCTGCCGTCGATGTGTCCAAGATCGTCGACATCAGCACGGACGGGGCGTCGGTCATGACCGGGAGAGAGAACGGATTGGTGGCGCGTCTTCGTGAACACGTCCCTCATCTGTTCTCATGCCACTGCATCGCCCATCGGTATGTGAGTTGATCAATATTGTAGCATGTTATCTACGCTGATTGGTTTACTAACAAACCATAATATTTGTTCCCTGCTTTACACAGTGAGGCGTTGGGTGTGAAGGACGCCGCTGACTCAAACCCGGATCTCGACATGGTCGACAAGGTGGTGCGCACTGTGGCGACTCTGCTCGGAAACTCCAGCGTGTGGAGTCAGCGGTTCAAGTTCCTGCAGCGTGTGATTTACAAGACCAACCTTGAAGTCCAAGGCATACACACGGTGCGGTGGCTGTCTCGAGGAGATGCGGTGGCCAGGCTGTGCAAGGTCCTCGGCGCTTGCATCGTGCTGCTCTGGGAGCACAATCACAAGGCGTACGAGATTGTCACCTGCTACAAGTTTCAGTTCTGCTTGTTTTTCTTGGCCGACATCTTGGCGGACATGAACGACCTCAACCGCTGCTTCCAGAGACGAGAGGTGAGGTCGCATGTTTGTATGATGTTGCTACGTGAGGTTCGCAACTACACTGTTGCTCATCCTTCTCCCTCTTGTCTACCCCTGCTCTGCCACAGCTGGACGTGACAGAGATTGCGAAGATGATCGAGTCCACAACGAGTGACCTGGTGGAGCGCTACTTGACGTCAGAGAAAGCTTTCGGGGGCGAAGGGAAGAGCTGGCTGGTGACCTTCCTCAAAGTCCACAAGGAGGGTGGAGGCAAGCAGGTCCGGGTGCGCGGCGTGGACGGTGCTGGGCGCCCGATCAACCACCTGTACACCATGCATGAGCGGAAGCTGAAGGGGCACAAACACGGAAGCACCTACGCAGACTGCGTGAAGCTGTGCCGCAAATTCGCCCGTGACTGCGTGGACAACCTCACCAACCGACTGGATGACCTTGGGAAGCTGGGGCCGACAAAGCTGTTCCGGGCGGGCAAGTGGCCGAAGATCAAGGCCCAGCGAGAGAAGAAGTGTAAGGAGTGGCTGAACGGGTGCAGCAAGTTGTTCCGCAACAAGCTGCCGGGATTCGACATCAAAGCAGCAGAGAGGGAGCTTCCAACCTTCTGCGCGATCATGGAGGCACACCATGAGATGGAGAGCTTCACCCAGGGCCTGTCCAACTTCCTTGGGAGCGCAGACTTCAAGAGGTAGCCTTTACTTTGCGTCTATGGGTTTTACAATCTTGTTGATTGCTAACTAATTCCGTTGTGTTGTGTGTACGCATGTGCCTGGCAGGAGATGGCCCAACCTCATCCTGCTGTGGCAGGCGCTAGCTGTGCTCCCTCTCTCCACCGTGGAGTGCGAGAGGGGGTTCTCCAGGCAGAACGTCATCAAGTCCTGGGTGCGAGGAGCGCTGTGCAACGCGCGTCTGGGGGAGCTGATGCAGATATCGCTCCTCAAGTATGAGATTGACTGGCCGGAGGCACTGGAGGTGTGGAGGTCCCTGCGGACTAGGCGCCCTGCGAAGAGCTTGAAGCTGGCTGTAGCAGAGAGGGAGCGGAAAGGGAAGCAGAAGGAGGGTGAAGATGTGGCTGCTCGAAATGCCAGGGAGAATGAGGATGAGGAGGAGGAGGAGGAGGAGGACGATGAAGTGGAACAGGCCTTTGACGACGATCAGGAGATCGTGGGGGAGGAGGAAGTGGAGGACAATCCATTCCTGTCGGACGATGAGGATGTGGAGGAGGTGTACTTCATAGACAAGCCCGTGCACTAGACTAGATAGAGTAGGAAACTGCATGCACTTGTCTTATTTAGGAAAATAGTGCATTGTTAATAGCAACCCTGTTTTTGAGTTGTGAACCCTGTCCGGTCAGAGTTGGACTTCGTGTGACACTGAGCTATCAGGGTAGCTACCTTGCGAAAAATGTGCCCTCATAATAGAGGGTCAAATTTTTTACTGGAATCAGGGAGTCTTAAAACGAAACGTCAGCCCTGGGGGTGAGCAACAGAGATG